CTTGTGACGTAGCTCCGCCCCCGGGGATACGCCGAACAGATCTGGCTTTTAAGAAAAAGTGGAAAAAAACACTTTAGACGCTAACACTGTGTGGATGGGTAGCTGTGGGTCCTTAGCTCTTTTTATGTCGACCTTTAGTCTGTGTGATGGTATTTCAGTCATTTATGATATATTTTGTGCCAATAAATTTGTTATTTCAACAAATTTAGATTTTTATCGATACAGAAGAAGAATACATAGAATTGCGTAACACAAACGTGCGACACCAAATGGCATCGCAAATAAAAATGCAGAATGTTTTCTCGCATCACTCCATTGAAGATATTGCCAATCAATAATATGTTTGTTAAAACTCTAACCAAAGCCAAAACCGAGACTAAAATAGCATAAAAAAAAACGACACCAGAAGAGCTACGAACCCACAACTAGTTGATGGGCGGTGTCGTAAGTTGTTGGAAACTGACAGAAATTTAGTAATAATAACGACCAAGCACTATATTGATTTGTAATGCGAACACATATTGAATTGAATCGGACACATAAATTCATGACTGATTATAAATGTAATTATTCAAAATTAACATAGATAAATAAGTTGATAAATACACAATTAAATTTCCTAAGATCTTAAAAGTCCTGAGTACAATGATAAATAAACACATAATATGCATGATAATATGACGTAGTACACATAACACTAAATGGTAATAAGACGTAGTACACATAACACTGATAGAACCGATCAAAAACAATGATCAACAATGATTATGTCATAAATGCACTGAGGCAGTGCGCCCTCTACAATCAGTTTCTATATATCTCCAAAGAACGCACACAATTTCGCAAGTTAGTAATGTGGACCTCTGTTTATTTTCTGATCACATCTTTCACTTTTCAAAGTGTATTTTCACGATCGAATCATACATAATTAAAGTTTGTCTTGTGATTTCTTGCGTGATGTTGTTACATGTAAACCTTCGTTACGTGACTCACAATTTCATCCTTGTTTACTTCATCTATGTCTTAACAATTAACTTTACACTATTGTAACACGAATAATGACACGGGATTGTATATCAATTGATAGCAACGTAAACAATATAACACAAACAATTGTATTACATACAAGTAAACGGTGATAAATATCACAATTACAACTGTTGACACAAATACATATATACAAAATGAATAAACCATGTAATAAACATTTGTTAAATGTTAAAACTTGCTATTATGATCAGAAGAAAAAATAATGAAAAATTCTATTCCGTTCTGTTGTTGTTTTTATTATAACGCTTCTGAACACCGAGGTCAACTTTTGTCACCTTTAATCCAAACAAAACACAATATCCAATGGGAATTGCATGCGAGCGTTTCATTCCTGGATTAGTTGGTCTTGTACAATAGTAAATATTCAATGTTTATAATTGAAGTTTATAAGCCTAATTCTTGAATGAAAATAAATCAAATGATTTTTTTTAGAATCAATGCTATAAAAATTAAAATTAATATTCCAAACTTCACACTATAGTATGCTCAGATAAAACATCGCATGTGAAGCTATTTTACAAACTACTTCTGACCAGGTTGTCCTACATGATGAAAATCTTTAGAATCTAAAGAATTCACTACTTTAAATACATTATTCCTCATTCATAAAACACTTCTCAATGTGCATAATGCCCGCTTCGTCGCAAAACTCAATAACTCTTGTTTTCACTAGGTTTTGGCTCATAATGTAAATTTTATACAAAAACATTGTAAAATATGAACAGGTCTCCAACAATCCAACAATCGATTCTGCAAATATAACTACATCATCTGCATATAGCAAGTAATGATTTTTTGGGTAAGCTGCACCAAACTATAACTAGCACACTACAGTTGAAATAGTCAGAGGTACCACCATGAATTTTGATGCATTATTTCACATCTCGATACACTGACTTAATGATTACCAACATCTTCCTTGTAATTTCTTTATTTTTGTAATCATCAAGAAAAAGATAACAGTAAAACAGTGAATCAATAAAAATACAATAAAACTTCTTTTTTTCCTACTCAGATGCATTTAAAGAATGACATAAATATACTTGATGGAAACACCAAAATTAATTTGTTTTTGATTCGGTGATTTTGAATGAAGTCTAAGCATACACAATACAAAGTTTAAGTGACATTTTCCCAGTCATGTTCATCAAATACTATGACAAATGTGGCCGCTAGTCAGCCATGATCGAACACGACACACATAATAATACGCAATAATTCCCTACTCATGACGACTTTCGCCCATTTCATCAGAGAGACTGGTGTGTTCACTGTAACTGTAAATACAATTTAATTGTCAGACGAAATAACGTGTGTTCGTAAATCAACATAAGAAAACAACACTGCCATATCTCACTTCTCTAAATATAGGCATATATAAACACAATGGCGCCTACCTTGACTGGTAGATACGTAGGACAAAATTAAAAAAAACACAAATTTGCCCTCCCCCTTTTTGGAGGAAACCAAAACAAACTTATGAAAAAAGTAATTCACCGTTTAGAGAGATTCCATAAAAAAACACAATGAAATAACGAGAAAAATGCAACATATAAAAATAAAATAATGTATAACAATCAAATGTTGCAACTTGTAATTGGTTGATTTAAAAATCGACGCGACTGGCTGACTGTCGTGTATACGCTGTATAATTTCAGTCTAGTTGCCCGACAATTCTTCTTGATATAGAGTAGTAACCTCGTTCGCGGAAAGGCTGCGATAAAATACCTTGAAATCGCTGAAGGCAACGTCACTGTTGAATGTATAGTCTGAATTGGACGCGCCTATAACGGCGTCTGAAAGATTGAATAGAAAATATACTAATAGATCGATTGACTTTGATTTATTGACTGATTGATTGATATTTAGTTCACTTGAGCAAAACATGTCACGTGAAACTTCACTTTTGAATAATTAGAGTAAAGTGCAGTCACGCGAGGTATCCCTATAATATTTAATGTTGACTCTATAGACTTAAAAACGAATGGGGTTTATTGAAATTCAAACGTATTGATGGTATATCATGTTTCTCCAGCAATGGTAGAAAGTTTGTCAAACAAATGAAAGAAAAATGTAGACCCCGAGTTTGAGGAAATGTTTATAAGACAATTCCTTTTGTATTGTATACTATTTTGATTAAAGTTCAATGACGGATATACTAGTAACTGATAACTCAAAAAGAAGTGAAAAACACCAAATAACTTCTGATTAATATTCATGGCAGATAAGAGTTTTTAATTGTGAATCCAGAATCCCGTTATAATCACGTGAGTAAAACTACTTGACTTGGTTTTGCATTTACGTTGGCGACGGGTGTGTTGGGAGGTGAACTGAATTCACTGATTTGTGTGAAATTATTGAAGTGAACGGGCTTTATCGCCCAGTATTGACAAGATAGAGAATCCATTCTCGAGTACCTAGGTGACGACAAAGAGACGGAATTCAACCGTCACAATAGTATTGTATGATTACGAATATTTCTGACATTTTATATGAGTCCCTGTATTTTCAAGTGTGAAATACTGTTATTTTAAATTACCTGTGTACAAATGATCGCCCGTTGTTTTAGTATTGAATGTGGCAGCAACCCACTGTACTGCTCCGTTGAAATACATGGCTCCTAGATCAGTAGGATGGAACACGCACACAAGATGGAACCACTGGGCATCGGGGAAAGCGTCAATTTGGTAGGCATAGTTATTCAACGTAGTGGGTGTCTGGTACGATTTGATCATCCATATCAACGCTCCATTGTTGGTGTACAACGTCACTCCTCTGCCCTGTGTGGTCTGCCCGCCCGTCGATACGATGAAATTAACGGAGCTCGGATTCGACGAGAGATCGTAGAACATCCACGTCGAGATTGTGATGCCATCCGGACAAAAGCTTTGATCGGTGAAACATGTTCCGCTGAAGTCACCAAAGTTGACGAAATCGCTGCTCTCCATGTGAGCTACGCATAGGTGTGACCCCAGTCTTGCTGCTGGGGCAGGAACTAGATCGAGAATTCCGGTGACGGTGCCAGTGTAGCCGCCGATGTTGTTGTATATAGTAGAACACGAGTCGCCTGGACAGGAGGCATCTGGATCTAAGTCATCCTGAGAGCATTTACCACTCATGTCCCAGTACAAGTCTGGTGTAATATCTGAGGAGATTAAATATAATGGTTGGACCATTAATTGTGTCAAAGTAGTTAGGGTTAACAAATCAATTATCTGGGTGCATGGCAGGTTTGGAAAAAGACAAAGAAAGCAAACAACAAACAAAAA